CTCTTCAGAGCCCGACCTTAGGGGTCACGTTTGTAATAGAGAAGTTGTCGAGGCACGTGCTGCTGAGGGGCCCCTCTATCAGACCTCCTCGTAGAGGAAGGCGGCCTGCCGCACTGGTTACCAAAGAGAAGAGGAAGTGTGTGTTTGCCAGAGTTTGAACGTACAGATAGTGTAAAGGCTTCAGACACAACAGGGTTACATGTGTGAGTTCTTACCATTCAGGACAGTGTCTTAGACTTGCAAATTAACACCTGGACTCTGGCATTTTAAATGTAGTAAGTTATGTAGTCACCAAAGTAGTTCATTTAGAATGGACCACCTCTGTCTTTAACTCATTTATCTGCATTTTATTCATTGCATACTAAAAACTAAAAGCAATAGTTGCTTTCTTGGTGCAGAAATTGTTTAATTTGCTAGTGCTGTGACTTGTGAGGAAAGTTGCTTGACTGCTGATCTGCTATCATTTCTGTTAAAAACTGTGAATTTTTTTATTTATACTATTAATTTTGTGGTTACCACTGCATATTGTTTTGCCATTGAGTGCTAAAAATATGGTGGCTCATATTATCCTCAAGTACTGTACTGCATTGCTCGTCCCAGGGCAGTACAGCCCTGAACAATGTGTGTGATAAATTTAATGCGTGTATGTTGTCTGGTCATGTTTGTAGCAGCGGATTTGTGTGATGATTAATATAGATGTGATAAGACAACTGAATCACCAGGTCCATTGTTTTAACTCAGGAGTGAACCATAATTCATTCTGAGGCATTCACTGCTATGTTGCCACTGTGCATCATGAGTTGTGCATCACTGACACGTTGACTGTGTTGAGTTAGTTTGACAGCGTTTTGGGTTTAATTCCCTTTCCCATTATCATTTTGATTTTTGCAGACTTGAAACATTGTGTGGTAAAGCCTGATTACTCCACTCCAGAATCTCTTCTTGCTACTGTGTTTCAGCTTAAATATGCCGAGCCTTAAGATATGACTATATACCTTTATATACTAGCAACACATGAAAAGTAGATCCTAAGTTGATTTTAACCTGGAGATGAAGGGTGTTAATGGAAAAAATAGTTGTTGTGGACTTTTGGAGGTGTAATATACGACATTGTTAATATTGGAGCTCCATCAATGGCAGCATTACGCAGGCCACTCCCACTTGGGCGAGGCCATGCAGAGGGCTACAGTGTCAGAAGTTGGCAGCGGTGCCAAAACCAGAGCTGTATCCTCAAGTGAACTCTCCACAATGTACGGTGCAACAGGCTCTGCCAAGTTTTTTGAATTCCTGCCACATGTTAGATGGTAAACAACTGACTAGCAGAAACAGTGTCTTAGATAGACAAGGAGAGCTACGGGATACTTCAAACTGAAAATGGCTTTACACTCTTGTTTGATTTGTATTCAGCATGTAGTTGTAGTAGCGTTTTATACTTTTAGTGACTGCGATTCGTTCAAAGGCGTAATGTGATGTGATGTCACAGGGTTCAGCTGGATGACTGCTTGGCGCTCAATATGTTTTTGTCATCAAATTGCATGATGTAATGATGCACTGAAATCCTCAGTTCCTCATGTTGAACCTTTGCTGTAACCAGATTTTTTATGATTATAAGTTTATGTTTGTGTGTTTTTGATATATGGAGCAGTACACAGAACACAGGGAACCTGATTTTCATTTAAAGCTGCAGAAAGCTAGGGAGAGTTACACAGGACAAGTGCACTCACTCTGTCTCTCTCTTTCTCTCTCTCTATCTGAGTCTGTTCTCTGAGGTAAACACACACAGCAGTGTAGCGCCTTTTCTTTCAGCCTCCGAGACTGAGAGTGAGGAGGTAGGAGAGTCTGCAGCTAACCAAGCGGCCATATTAGTTAGCTGTTCAGTCACTCATATTTGCTCTCCTCTTCATCTATTTCACAGTAAAAAATATACATGTACGAGAAAGCAGTTATAAGGAAGTATTCCCACCTTTTATTTGTTTCAGTGTGCACAGCTCCCCTTTAGACTCTGTGTGAGGAATAAAGACTGAATAAAGGAATAAAGCTTGAAATCAAGACCAGCAAGCCATGCTCTATGAAGCGAGATCCTTCATTTTTGGACAGTTTTCCACTTTTTCCTTCTTTTTTGTGCAGCTGCTACTTTGGCGAGAGAGGAGAGGAAAAATTTGCCTGTGCTGAGTTCAGGGTTTCTTTTAGGAAGAAGAAGACTGGAGGGGATGGAAATGGCGTCCGAAAGAGAGGAAGTTGTGTTTTTGCCATGGGGGAATCTATTGCAAACAACTGAATTACAACATTTTGGCCACAGAGAGAAGCTTTTGGGGAGAGAAGCAGGTTGGAAGCTAGATGGGTGTGAATAACCTTCAGCAGTCTGATGCAGAGGCTGGTAGGTGTGCGTGAGACAAGGAAAGAGAGAAAGACAGCAGAGGTGGTATCTGACACACACAAAAAAAAAATTTAAAAAGATCCTTCTTATATGGGCTTAAATTAACACTAGCTGTTCAGAGCAATGCTGTTTATTACTGTAGGCTACAACAGTGCCATTGAAAGGACAAGAAAGGGTGGGAGACAGAAAAGGCTGGACACTGAAGGGGAGGTGGAGGGGGAAGGAGGGTGCAGGACATGAGCAGAGCCATCAGCAGAGTCCATTTTATCGTTCGGTTACTCCGACATTTTTCCTCTCCTTATTCGCATGCAGGACCGCTACAGTTTGCAGCTAGGCGAGGGCAGCCTAGTAATGGTACATGGCGGGTGCACTGCGGTAACTATTGCAGGATTTTACAGCATGGTTCACTGTTGCAATCATGGCAGGGCGGGTGCACCCAGGTGCTTATCTGGCTTTGGTTGGGTGCCAAACTAGTGTAGCTTTTTAACTCAACGTGTTTGCAGTTGAGTAAAAGAAGCAATACTCAAGACGGTATTTGTCAGTGATCATGCCAGACTTTATTTTGGGGCCTTTATTAGGTGCTTGCTGTTGCTTCCAATTGCTCCCTGGAAGTTTTGTGATAAGGTCCATGTAGGGCCAAGACAAGTATCAAACTCAGATCAATAGCAGCACAGAAAGAAAGCAATGAATTGTTAATCTATCACAAGAATTTTTAAGTTAGGTGTTGCAAGTTTTCCCTGACATCTTTAATCATTTTTGAGTGTTTGCAGTGACACTCCTCCTCTGCGCTGTAGCCCCCCCACCACCCCTCGTGCATACGCACGTCACGCCAGGTCAGTGATGAAAACACGTAGTGCGCACACACTCCCACACGTCCCTGTTTCATCATCAGCCGAGCCCTTTCTCCTCCACTCATAGCATTTCTCCCCTCCCTCTCTAGCCCCCTCCCTTTTCGGCTCTTGATTCTTTTTCTATCCGTCATGCTACTCTCTCCCTGGGTCCCGGCCACATGCAAGAGGCAAGAGGGTAGACTAGGACGCTGCAGCTCTTAAAAAAAAAAGAGGGGAAAAACGCTCTGCTGCTATTTCTACAGGCAGGCCCTCCCCTTTAGTTAGTCTGTGCCAAAAATGGGAGGGATTTTTACTACTCCCAGTCCCAGGATTTTAACCCTCTGCCTGCTCTCACTTCTCTGCAAGATCTGCTTTTCAATATCATGCAACAAGTGGCTTTGCTTTACTCCTGCTTCAACATCGCTGCGCCATTTGCGAAGATGTTTTTCAGGACCCCTGTTTTCTTCACTTCATGGGCGTTGCTCACATGCATTTGGTCAGTTTTTGCTTCTTCTGGGTTGTTGTCAGCAGAGTTAAACTGAACTAGGCAGAATCTGTGCTTTTGGTTTGTGTCCTACCGTGATGCAGAGGCTTTCTGAGCATGTTTCTTGATTGCTCGCCATGCTTCCTACCTTAAGCTAAGGCTGAAGACAGCAGTTTGTTTTTAACATTTTGTTCGACCAGCTGCTTGATTTCATGTTACCTGTGCATGTATCTTGATTTCAACAAATCCTTTCTCATGTGTTTTTCTGTGCTTTTATCTTTTCTGCCCTCCAACTTCTTCACCCTTTCCATCTCTAAACCTCTCCCTCTTTTAGGTTTTCTGCCCCACCCTCTCTTACTTCTGCTCGCTCCCTGCTTTTCTCTTTCCTTCTCTCTCTCTCTCTCTCTCTCTCTTTCCCCCTCTCTGTCTCTCACATGGGCATTCTCCAGTGAAAAGGCAGCAGGAGGGCGTAGCAGCAGCGATGGGGCTGTTTCTGGGACAGGTGCCAATTCTAAACAAAAGACACAAAAAGCTAAAAAAGAGTGAGATAGTTCCCAACAACAGGAAGAAAGTGACATGTTTCAAGGGCAGTTTTGTAGCAATTACATCTGGGTGCATGTGTAACTACTTTTCTCTTGCAGGACTTTTTTTGTAGTGCAGGAATGAGTAGCAGCAGAGATTTTGAATCCCCCCCCCCAGTCTCTTGCTTCCGTGAAGGCATTTGAGTTTCAAGCAGGGACGAGGAGGTGTGGGTGGAGTAGGGAAGGGACCGTGGAAGGCGGAGCCTTGCCTCCTCTCCTCCCTGTCGAGTCTTCTGCATTATTCATATGCCTGGGCCAGTACTGCGTTCTGACTGGCTGCCTGGCTTAGCATTCACCCGACATTCAGCAGCTCTGTTTGCTAACATTCCTCATTCAAAGCCTTGTTAACTGCCAGACGGGAGGAACACGCGACTCCATGGGAAACCCACATGGCCTCCCCATTGTGGCTGGCTCTGACAGTCGCAGACTAGGAGGTGGCAAACTGGAAAGCAAGATGATCTGGTTGGTAAATATTAGAAAACAGTTAGCTGAGGTTAGACAGGCTACCTAAGGCTTTGAGATGGGTCTGGGGTGAATTGGCCAGATTGACAGGATAAAACCCAGACAGATGGGCAAACAGACATATAGACAAGGTGCTGAGGCAGACAGGGAGGCTGGCACTTTCTGGGACTCTGAATGGGTATCTCGTTGGCATGCCCGCCTACTCCTTGCAGGGAGTGCAGAGCTGTGTGACTGAATATGAGCTCCTTCTCTGCCCTTCTCCATAGAGAGCATGCATATATACTGTGTGCAGCTACCGAGGAAACCAGGACAATGAACGGCGGAGATTTCAGCATTTTACCCTGGATAACTGATGGCTGTGGTGTGCGTGCCAGCTGCCTCAAAATCTCAGTGGGTAAGTCAGAGAGTGTGTGTGGGTGTGGAGGTAAGTGTGTGTCCAGGTATGCTTATGTGCAGCCATGCAGAGATTTTCTTGTGGCATAACACTGACACACAGATGAAGCAAACACAGGCAAGCAGCTTTGTTTGACCTGATCTCTATGTTCGTGTGTTTACACGTTGTGTCTGGGTGGTGTTTCCTTTAGAGCTACATGGCAATCCAGAGAGAGGAGGCTCAACTGAATATAGGCTGACCAGGGGTTAACGTGACATGGGCCTTGAATTTCAGACAAAACCAAATTAATCTCTCCTCTGGTGTATTCCTACCTGCAGTTTTGCACTCCAGGTCAGCCTTTTGTGTCTGTGAAAGAGAACCGTTTTTGGAGGGAGCATAGAGGGACCAGTGCTGTAATGCTGGGCCGAGGGCCAGGCAGGGCCTGCTACACAAGGCCGAGCACCATAACAGTGCTCTCTCTCTCTCTCTCTCTCTCTTTTTCTCTCTCTCTCTCTCTCTGTCAGTCTGTCTCTGGGTCTCTCTTTGCTTTTCTCTCCTGGTCAGAAAACTATTAACTGTGCTTCTCATATTGAGTTTTCATTAAAACCTTATTCTAGTGACTACGTTTAAGGTTTATAGTTTGTAATAGAAGGTTAAACATTTAAAAATGGGTCATTGCTGACATGTGGCTGTGCGCACGTAGCTTTAATGTAGTTCAAACAGGCATACTGGACATATAGTTTACCATGTTTTATTAATGCAGATCAAATTTTTTAAATTCTTCTTTAACATGGGTAAACAAGAAAACTGCTTCAGTGGATTTGAAGAGCTAAGCAATGTAAGCTATAAATACAGTATCTGGGCTGTTAATGTGTACTGAATAAAGCAGTATATGCTTTTTAAAGAAATATAGTTAAGTTATATATATTCATTAACATCGGCGTCACAAATGCTTCATCCCTACAGGAAGAAGATCAACTATAGTTTTTCAGTAATATATCATAGTTTCAACATAATTTAAAAAAACTCTACGCCACAGCCCTCATCATTGCCATTCAGCATGGCGTCTTTTAGTTATCGCCCATAAATCGGTTTTCTTTGTGCTAGCGCTAATTGAAAATCTTATTCCTATTCTTCCTCATTGCCTGTCGATCTGGCTGCATGTTGAACACCTCAGCACATGAGAGTCAACCACAACCAATAGATAGAGCAGGCAGCATGAGTCAGCACAGATAACTCTAAACATCCCACCTACATCCTACGTTTGGCAGGCCTATTCAGCCACCACTCTTTCACTACAGGACTTGCTGTGAGATCCGCGGTCACTGTCACCCCGGCAAGAAACCCTGACATCACTTCTAGCATTCTCAGACCCTCAGCTGGGTGAAATTATGAATTAATATGGCAGTGTTTAGAGAAGGAACTTGTTGCTGAACACACCAGCTCACAAGAGTCAGCAGTAAAAACTGCAGCCGAGACAAATGTAGGATGTGACTCTTTTTTTTTAATGTTTCTCTGCTCTCCTTTCCTTTCCTTTGCATTCTACTTCATTCCATCTGAATCTTTTCAACATACAGAAATGAGAGGTACATTTTGAACTGGGTTGTTTTTCTGCCCTTCATAATCTAGCTTTCTTTAGGCAAATGAGACCATTTGGAATGATTTTTGTAACTTAAAAACACTGTTCATTAACTTTAGAAAATCAATGAAAATACTTTGTCACATTTGTCTCCACATAGACACATTTCAAAGAGTCCTCTATACTTACAAGGTCAGATTAAATTTGTTTATGTCATGAATGACAATGAAACTCACAGACTACACCGTTACACATTAAATGAAGAGATCGTCACATATTTATAAAGAAAAGAAATGCTGTTGCAATTGTGGATTTGGTCCAAACATCCAATCTCCAGGTGTGGTTTATAAAATGTTCTTATAACGCATTACAGAATATTAAAAAGCTAAAAAGTGAAATGTGAGAAGTGAACAAAAAGGATATCACACCACATCTTGAGCCAGGCACACAGGACACATGCATGCACAAATGAATATTCTTGTGTGCACGCACACACGCACATTCAGGCAAACACCCAGACGCATTTGATGCTATGTACCCCACAATGAACCCAGGCTCCCAAGATGAATGGGGTTCCCACGCCTCTCACAAGTGTGCAGGGCACAGCCTCCCTCCTTTGAGCATTCAGACACACAATGCACACACTACAGATGGCCACAAAGTCTTACTCAAACACACACAGGTGCATTTGCGTAAAATAGAGAGGCACATATATATGCAGTGAAAGGACATATTTTAAAAAGTACACAGAGACACATCTAAAATGTTGATTATTATTCAGAGCACTTACATCCACGAGTGCATCCGTTTCCAAAATGGGGTCAGTTTTCTTTACTGCTGCGTATTTTTTGCAGTTTGTCATACAGTAAAAAAATGACTTTTATTTAGCCAAACAACAAATCAGAGAGGAAATCAGGTAAGAGAAATGTTATTTTAGTATCACTTCTCTTTTTGTTTGACTTGGTGTGTGTGTGTGTGTGTGTGTGTGAGAGAGAGAGAATGTGTGTCAGTCATACGGTTTTGTTTTGTAGGCAGAATTTAGACGAAGCAGAAACAAGTTCGTGGGAAAGTCCTTCAGTGCATGTCTGTGCTCTGCATGTGTATATGAATAAATATATATTCATATGTAGTTATATATACATTTTTATAGATGACAGGGTTTCAAATTGTAAAAAATGTTTATATTTTAATTTATTTTAAAGTCAAATGTAATATTTTATCTTATTTTAATTTTTGTATAATATTTTATCATTTAACAGCTTAAAAAATTACATTAGATAATTGGGTTTTTTTTCTTATGGACAAATATATTTACAGTTCATTGCTTCAGTAAACTTTAATTAAATTTCTTAAATTGTTCAACTTTTTAGGAGATGATACATTTTCAGAAAAAAACTTTTGCTTTGACTGTGTGTCAGAGAGAGAGAGAGGGAGGAGAGCAGCACTATTATTTATTTATATGAGCTTTAACATCACATATTATATTTACAATTAATTGTTGCTTAGAACAAAAAATAAATAGATATGTGGGTGTTATCTGTAGCATAGTCTTATAATGTGTTTATTTCTAAATTCCAAATTGCTTTCCTTTGATGATTGGAATATTTTAAATACTTTTTACCTTCAGCATTTTATTTTTGAAACAGAAATTTGACCACAAAACAAGAAACAGTTAATTGCAGAAAATGAGTAAACTGGAACTATTAAACAAAAATCCAGACCTTAGTCAGTAGTTCTAATAACACACAGTCATGTAATTTTTACTGATAATGTTGAAGAGATGCATTTCAGCTTCTCCAACACTGGCCAGTTTATGTTAATATCTTTCTCCAGTCTAAATTTAGCTGCGGTATTCTGAGCCGTGATCACTCCAACATAAGTTACATGAGCCTTAATGATATACTCAAGTAGCTGCTAGGCAGGTTTATGACTCGAGGGCGATGTGGACACCTTGGTGTGTGTGTGTGTGTACGTGTGTGTGCACATGTTTTTTGAATATATTTGTCCAGTACTGTGTGTGTAGACACACATATACTAACTATATTAATGTCTCTGTTTTTCTCTTCCATTTGCAGATTCATAATTTGGACGTGAATATATTTTTCCTGGTCCAACTTCAATGTGAAGGTTGGTTTAATTTTTATATTTTTAAATGTATATTTATTGAATTTATACAATTTTTTAGTTTGTAGTTAAACTCAGTTATGCTTTTTTTCCCTGCATGCATGTGTGTCTGTGTGTTTGTGTGTGTGTACACGTGTGAATGCCACTATACTGAATATTCAGAGTCGAAAATAATTTCTGTCTGCTCTTGAGCTGTGTATATACAACCTTTGGTTTTGTCCTTCAGCTGCCGGCAGGCACACAGCACAATTAAACCAGTTTGTCGTTTATTTAACACAGTCTGGCTCATATTGTTCCCAGCACACAGTGACGACCGTGGCAGTAAGTGACACGTCCCGTCAAAACCGGCTCTGGTGTGCGGTGTGTGTCATGTCATCTGAATCAATAAGTCTCTGCCTCAGCTCAAAGATAATCTCCTCAAAGTAAATTAGTCACTAAAAAGGGAGAAAGAAAAGCTATGAGCCTAAAGGTCAAATGAAGATTAGAGTGAAACGGTACACGAGGGCACACGGGCTGGCACCCGGAACTGCACAAAGGCCTCATTGTCACACACTCTGCACACACTCTCCTTGTGTATTTGGGGAGACATGACACCTGTTGGTGGCTTTGATCAACTACAGGCTGAGTGTCAGGACACCTTCACAGGGCAATAGTGGTGCTCAGACTTTAGGTTTTTGACTGTTTTTTGTTTGAGCCCACTGAAATATAGCACTAGACTGTCCTGAATAATTTTGGAGGAGTCCTGGTTCAGCA